TATTTTATTTAGCCGACATCACATATTATGAGCACCAATGATAATTAGCATAAACTATATAGTTTTAAATGCAATACGGAAGATACATAATGATACAATATGGTAGATACATATCTATAATTACTGTCAAAGATGTTTTTATAGCCCCATGACAGATTAAGGCTGTATGAAGGCTACACTCCCAGCGAATGTATGACTTTCCAGTGCTCTTCTTTGTATAGAACCTTCGTAGCTAAACTTGACACCACTCTTATTATTCTTCAATATGTCCAGACCGCCTCCGTGGTGCGTCTGCCCGGAGGGCGGAAGGTCGCGGGTTCGATCCCCGACCGCGTCATGCCAAAAGACGTTAAAATATGGTACTTGTTGGTCCCTGCCTGGCTCTCGGCATTAATGGGTACAACAAGGACTGGTCGGATCGGAGTCAGTATAATGTGTCAGAGTTGGGTATTCATGATTCACTGCGAGATGGTATCTCAGTGGGCTAGCACTATAAAACCAGCTTCAGTCTGGGCTGGTACAAGCAGCCGCACATACACATACACACGCATGCATGTCGTCATATGAGCGAAATAGTCTCAAGTACGACGTTAAACCCAATTTCACCTCACCTCATCACCTCAATATCTCCATGCTGGAATGCTACTGCCTGCTTAGTTTGTGGAGCATATATTTTTACCAGTTGTAATATGATAGTGAGTTGAAATACTTAATAATTTGTACATATCTAAATACTAAGTTGATTCACAACATTCTTTATTCTCTTGAAGTCCGTTAATCCTCATCAATAATGAAGCTTCACCCTTGATAATGTTTACAACGAAATACTAAGTTAATTAATGAAGCCTCTTAATCCCTGTCACTGACAATCTCTATTACTGATTCAATTAAAAAACATGTCACTTAAATCAATCACTCAGTAGTTAAAACATGTTTGGGGTTTTTGTCCAAGGTTTTTTAGTCCTCGTGGGCTTTTGTCCACAGGGGTTTTTGTCCTACAATCGTTATTGCACAATGTGTAAAAAACATTGTATATTCATTAAACGGTGATATCGTTTATCTTTTATGATGTTTCCGCTCTTTCAGACATGCATATTCAACTGCAGAAAATAGATGAATGCCCTTGAATTATTTTGTAAAGAAAGAGGAATGAAAGTAAATCTAAAGAAAACTAAAGTTGTTGTTTTTTTAAATGAGGGGCCTAGATCTTTAAAGTGGTATTTTAATGGGGTTCCTTTTTATCAGTTAATCAAAAGAAATTTAGAAACATTAATTGTACAGTTTTATAAAAAAAAACATTATTCACTGATCACACTTATTTTATGCTGTGACTCGGAAATATGGGGAACTTCTTATTGTAAAGTATTGGATCTGTACAGCTTGGTTTTTGTAAAATGGATCTTAAAATAAATAGGTCATATTGAAATTTTATGCCCCTGGGTGAATGTGGCATATTGTCCCTGCAACATGATTATATACTAGGCACATAAAGAAACTGTGCATACAAAAAATTAAAATAGAAATTTATCAAACCTGTGTAGATACATAAGGATTCAAACTCAGAGATTAGTGACATGTATGTAACATGCATGCACGTGCTACGTTCCGTGACGTCAATGGGTTCGTCCTTGAGACGTGTAATACGTTGTTGCACGTGCATTCCGGGAAAGAGAAACAGAGCAAATGATTTGGAAAGCTCAACCCCTGCCCTTGCGATCGTTCAACTGCATAGCATGCCAAGGCTCACGTCTGCACAACGTCATGAGGCCATTGGGATGGTTCGTGGGGGAATGTCTCAACGACAAGTGGCTGCACATTTCCACTGCCACCGGAACACCATTTCTGCACTGGTGAAACGCTACCAGAACACAAATGACGTCATCGATCTGCCACATTCTGGACGTCCACGTGTAACAACGCCAAGACAGGACAGATGGATAAGGGTGATCCATCTTTACCACAGGTGTCAGACTGCAGTGATGACTGGCCGAACCATCCCAGGACCTCGCCGTATCCACCCCAACATAGTTCGACAACGTTTACGTCATCACGGGATCAGACCACGACGTCCCGCCATACGGCCTATCCTGACACAACGTGTGTGGTGCCGAAATCATGTCCGCAGACCCTTGTTTTGGTGGAGAAATGATGTTTTTACAGATGAGTCCAGGTTTAACATTTCCCATAGTGATTGACGTCAACGTGCCTATAGGCGCGTGGGAGAACGTTATGCACAGGCCCGTGTCTTGGAAAGGAATCGCTTTTGTGGTGGTTCCGCGATGATTTGAGATGGAATAACAGCACGCCAAAGAACTTCTGTGGTGATTGTTCAGGGCAACTTAACTGGTGTGGGCTACAGGGATCAGATCTTTCGACCTGTGGGAATTCCTTTTCTGCAACATCATGGCCCTTGGTTAACCTTCCAACAGGACAATGCCCGCCCTCATACGGAAAGGGTTGCTATGGATTTCTTGCAACACCACAACGTTGATTTACTACCTTGGCCTGCAAATTCACCGGATCTCTTCCCGAAAGAGCATGTTTGGGTCGAGTTGGATCGACGTCTACGCCGTCTTCCTCATCCACCAGATAACGTCCTTGACCTTGCAACAGAACTTGAGAGAATCTGGCGTGACATCCCACAAGCCTTCCTTGCACGTTTGATAGGCTCTATGCGTCGTCGATGGATTGCTGTTCTCAATGCCGATGGTGGACATACCCGTTATTGAGCTTGTGACATGGTTGCTGACCCCTGTCCGGCTTGTGGACTCGTGACGTCATTGTGATTGACTTTTCAATTGAAATTCTCGCGACTTGTTATGGTCTCATGATCCCTCCATTAAAGTTTATATGTACCTTTGACATTGTTATCGTACTTATCAACTGGGATAATATTTTGACAATGCAGTTTCTTTATGTGCCTAGTATATGATCCATGTATTGGTGTAGAGTAATACAACTTACCCATGACAGATTACCCTCTCATTAGATGATAGCAGTTAAACAACATGGGCATAAAAAATTAAGAGATTTCTTTTAGATTTTTGGTTTTAAATGTGTTACTACTGTAACATGTTTATAAGTTTATTCAAACAAAGATTATAAGATAATTTGAAACAGTCTTGTAACTTCCTTGAGTAATTCCTCCAAATGCAACTATTATCGGTATTTAAAGTCAATATTAATGTTGAATGTTATTTACCGTTTAACCTTTCTGCCAATTTTAGAGCTGCTTTAGCACAATTTAGGTGTAGTAATTTTAAGATAGCTGTAAGAACTGGGTGTTATATCAACACTAACTATAATCAAAGATTCGGTACATCATGTAACTAAAGGTCTAACCTATATTGAAGAGGAATTCCGTGTATTGTTCCTTTGTGAATCCCATTCACAACTCTTAGAGAGGTATATTACAACATTTCTTTAAAAGCCTTACACTTTATATTTTTGGGGTTATCTTCCAGAGAATACTAACGGAAATGTAACTTGTAAAATATGTTGCTTTATGTCTATTTAATGATGAAAGGATTGTTATAAACACTCCTGAAAGATCATTGTGCCCCTGAAGACACTGTATTTTTGTTAATGTATGTTGGGCATTTGGCCTTTTACTGGAAATAAACTCTAACATTCAAGTCATCAGCATTGTGTGTATTAATGACTCGTAATTTCCATTCTGTAGATATTTCAAAACTGTAAATACTGTTTCACATCATATCTTTTGTCTGATCAAATCTGTCGCCAGAAAGCTGAAACTGACAGATATTTGGGCCAGTTGCCATTCAGATTGGATAGTTTCGTGTGATGGATACATAAAATGTATTTGCATCATGTATATCAATTACATTTAAGTAATTAATTAATCAGTTGCATAGGTGGCTGAGCTGGTTGGGTCGCTGACTTCGTTTGCTGGCGATTAGGTGCCTGACTCCAGGGGGTTCGAATTCCCGATGAAACTCAACCCAAGTACTAGAATCTGCACTTTACTGAGAAAGTGTATCCCAAGTATAACATATGTTACATTTGACCACTTTCTAAATGTCATTGTGTAATCACAAATATTAATGTTTCTTTGACAATACTCTTTTTAAATTTGTCATTTACATGATTGGTCGTGTAATGATCAACACCCTGCAAAACGTTTAATTGGTGAATTTTTTAAGTCAAAGAAATTTGAATTTTAACAAATATTGACTAATTATGAAAACATTTCTAATGTTTCTACAACATTCTTGGCACAAGCACCATAAAAGGCTGTTACCAACTTGCCACGGTCAGGGCCATGCAATCAGAATCCGGTCAGGAGGTACCCTTCCTTCAAGAGCTGTGAATCATTAATGTGGAACTATTTTTGCAAGAAGTATTGATTCCTAACAAGCACATCTCGGAGATCATTTTGATATATAATTCTTTTATTCGCCAAGTATGTTGAAGAACTCACCTATTTCTAGTTTTTGAAATGCATTTAGAAGCTGCACGAGCATGAATACATGCCATTTTTACAACTTCTTTTTAAACTTTACACGACGTTTCAGAGCTAATATACATAGATAAAACATGTGTACACAATGCAAGGAGGGAGAATGTACAAAGATAACAATATAATTACATAGCCAACAACACAAATAGGAAGTCAATAAGACTGAGAAGCCAATACGATTGGATTAATGCATAAAGAAAACAATGTATTGTGTACACAAATCCAAAAGTGGGGGTGGAGTGATGTAGAATACCAACATAATAGGAAACCAATTGGATAGGATTAATGTACAAAGATAACAATGAACGGATTAAGCCAAGAGATGATAGGACAACAGAGTATACACTGGGAAGGTAAATGGCTTGGTCCCGGTTAATGGCTGGCTTCTTTCTCTGCATCTCGATGCTTTCTTGAAGTTTCCGCTTCTTCCAGTGGTTGATGTTGGTGTGTAGAATCTGGGTTTGTTGCCAGGAAGTATTTCTAGTGGCCCTACAGATTTCAGTTTGTCCTTCAGTCAACGTCAGTCACCGGTTATTATTTTTTCTTCGAATTGGATCGGGGAGATCTTGGTGACTTTGAACTTGTGTGCCGAAAGGACCGCGTTGCCATCGTTACCATGCTTATGAACCCTTTTCATATGATTCAGCATGTAGTCTCTCCGATAGAACCTCATTTCACACACATCACACTGGGAAGGCTTCTCCGCGGTATGAGTTCTCATGTGTCTGGTTAAGGTACACCTTCTGACATATACCTTATCACAGACAACGCATTCAAACGCCCGTTTCTTACCTCCTGTTTCATAGTCTGATGCCATTATGTGCTTCTCGAACCCCTTTTTAATCGCAAATGACCCTTGACATGAATTAGACTTGTAAGGCTTTTTAAGAATTTGCTTTCCATTTTGCAGTGTCTGCTTTGAGTTTTTGTGCATACCAACACCCTGTTCCGGTACATTATCAGAACCGCGGTTACATTCCCAAGCGGAACCAACTATAGCTTCTTCGTTGTCATTGCTACAACGTTGTGTGTTCAGATCCCGAGACTCAAACTCAAAATGACGACCTGTGTTATTCTTACAGGTAACGTCGTCTGACGGTTGTGGGACGTTATCAGACACAAAATTCAAATTTATCTGTTCATCACCGTGTCTACGATTCACTTCCGAATGTTCGAATTCCAGAGTCTTTTCAGTGTCTTTGAAAGTAGGGACGACATGGTCGTCCATCATGAACACGGACTGAGTTATCTCGCTTGTCCCATGCTTCTCATCACCAATGAGCTCCCATTTTTCACTATCCGCCTTTGTAGTTTTGTGTTGTTGTTTTCCTTTATTGCACCACGTATTATATAGATGTTTACTTTGTTTATTCAAATCGTCCCGCTTGATATTTGAAAGACACACTTTGAGTTGATAACCTTGTGTGTTGGCTTTCTTGTGTTTTGACCGTTTGTGATGGCCTAGTGCGTCGTTTGAAAGGTATGTCTTGTCACACTGGGTGCACTGGAAGGGTCTTTCACCCGTATGTATCCTCAGGTGAGCCTTCAGCGCAAATGCAGTGGCCATTCGTCTCCCGCACACCTCGCACGTAGCGGAACCAACTATAGCTTCTTCGTTGTCATTGCTACAACGTTGTGTGTTCAGATCCCGAGACTCAAACTCAAAATGACGACCTGTGTTATTCTTACAGGTAACGTCGACTGACGGTTGTGGAACGTTATCAGACAAAAAATTCAAATTTATCTGTTCATCACCGTGTCTACGATTCACTTCCGAATGTTCGAATTCCAGAGTCTTTTCAGTGTCTTTGAAAGTAGGGAAGACATGGTCGTCCATCACGAACACGGACTGAGTTATCTCGCTTGTCCCATGCTTCTCATCACCAATGAGCTCCCATTTTTCACTATCCGCCTTTGTAGTTTTGTGTTGTTGTTTTCCTTTATTGCACCACGTATTATCTGGATGTTTATTTTGTTTATTTAAATCGTCCCGCTTGATATTTGAAAGACACACTTTGAGTTGATAACCTTGTGTGTTGGCTTTCTTGTGTTTTGACCGTTTGTGATGGCCTAGTGCGTCGTTTGAAAGGTATGTCTTGTCACACTGGGTGCACTGGAAGGGTCTTTCACCCGTATGTATCCTCAGGTGAGCCTTCATCGCAAATGCAGTGGCCATTCGTCTCCCGCACACCTCGCACGTAGCTGCGTTTGGCCTGTACATTTCCAATACACGTTGTTGTTATTTGCTTTAACGTCGCACGCACAACTAAGGTATTTCGGCGACGGGGTAGTACGCTTAATAAGAAATGAGGGGGAACTAAAAATAGAAATTTTTGAAAGAGTGGTGTTACTACAAAAAATAATAATTAAAAAAGCATAAAAAACAACCCTCCAAACCCCCTCCCAACAAAACAACTACTGAGTATTAAGGGAAATTTGAATGGGAGGCCGAATTAAAATGGTAAAAAATATTAAATAGGTAAAGAGTAACAGAGATTTGGAATTAAATATAGTTGTAGTGTAATAAATGGTTATTGTTATTGTTTTTTGGTTTCCAATACACGCCTAAGCCCTCAGTAGATACAAGAAGAACAATAGTCAACACACAGGAAGTGACGTCGTGAGACAATACACGTCTTAGCCCTCAGCAGATACAAGCAGACGAGTAGTCAAAACATGGGAAGTGACGATGTGAGACAATCTTCCGGTCACGTGCTGAGAGGTTCAAGGTAGATTTGGTGGATATGGTCGATTCACCTTGATGTCTTCTCAAGTAGCTGCTTTACTTTTATGTGACTTTGAGTAAAGTTTGCAGTTCTGGAAATCTTGAAATCCGTTTACCTTGTTACTGAAACATAAAATCGGTTGTTATATATTTTACATCGGATAAGTGCATAGAAAAAAATTATACGCAAAATTAATATTCAGTTTTTCCTAATAAATGTATCGTCATGTACAGCGACAGAAATATAGATCATTATGGCGACAAAGGAATGAGTGAGTTTGGTTTTACGCCGCTTGTAGCAATGTTCCAGCAATATCACAGCAGGGGACACCGGAAATGTGCTTCACACTTTATACCCAGGAATCTAACCCAGGACTTCAACGTGACGAGCGAACGCTTTAAAAATATGTATGACATCGACCACGTGTTTGGGCAGGCACGATTACTCTTTTGTCATATAGCTACGTTTTCGTGCATAGTTTACATTCTGTGGATACAGATTTACATAACTTATAAGAATTGCACAAATCCCTTATTATTAATAATAACTAATTGTTCAAATGATGATTTCTAAAGAACGTAAATATAATTAACACACTGTCCCTCTAGCAGACTGGCGTCTTTACACTGTTTGCTTGTCTTGACTGGTGTCCTCCCACTTCGCCTAATGCTAACCCATCAGGTACGGAAAATCTTTTAGGCAATGTGGGTATGTAACGCCTGGATGATTACTAAGGAGTAGGCGAAGTGGGAATGGGAGAATCCACATGTAGTGATCAGAGGGGTGTTCAAAGAATGACAAAATGCAACTGACCTTTTTTATATATATTTAATACTTTATACTCATCATTAACATATCATTAACACATGCCCCACTCAATCACAATAATAGATGAGTTATACAACACACCGTTTCAGTCATTAACACATGTCATACTCCATTCAAGCTTATCCCACAGGCCCTCATCCACCCATGTCAAAGTTATATAGTCCATACAATTCGTACACGTCTCATCCATGAGTGCTTCGGCAATAGCGACTGTCCAAATACATGTATTGTCTATTTGATTGAGGGGTGCAAGTGGGAGGGTCTTTGCTCCAAGGGCCAGTTGCCTGAAGTAGGCGTCCTTCTTGTAGCGTGATGATAGTCCAGTAATCTGAATCTTCCTCCATAAGTCAAAGTCACATAAAGCTACTGAACTTCTTTAGCTAAATTATGTTGATCTAAGAATTAATGGAGTGCTGGGATAAATAAATGAATGGTAAACAACCTGTTTACTTTTTTCACATTCTTTTTATTCATTTCACTTCAGCAGGTGTAGATACATATATCATATCATTGTTTTTCAAAGTATATACAGTGAAGCGCTCATCAAACGATGGACATGTCAGGTTTCCATTTGGAATTAAATTTAGTCAAAGCATTGTTCTTACAAGCAATAATTCTTTCTACACATCCTTGACGATATTAGCAAGACCGTATACTTATATATTTCCACATATCCTCCTCTAAATTCATCTCAAAGTCACATAAAGCTACTTAACATATTTAGTTTAATTCATGTTGTTCTAAGAAATAATGGAGTGCTGGGAGAAGTGACACTTGGGAACTTAGCCTGTTCCAGTGAGACTCCACGGTTCAGTGATTATGAATATTAGGCGTTCTCATATGTCTGCTCATCAGGCGATGTGGGAAAAACTTAGCAGGAAATTGAGGCGAAGCCGGTTTGCACCCCTTGTCTAGCTAGCCCTAGGCCAAATGTTAGAAAAGTCCCTATCTTTTAGGATCTCTCAGCAGCAGTAAAAGCGTTATCCTTTAATAGGTATGACAACTCCCACCTTCCAGAGATTCTTGTCAATGTGGAACTAGAGACAGAATGTATCAGGTTGCTGAAAACAAACAAGGATTACCCCTACCCTACCCTAAATTCCCCTTTGAAGAAACAGTGTCCACGTGTTCATAGACCCATGAGGATGACCACATGGTTTAATGGACGGTGACAAGCAGTGGTGTTCAACATGATCAGGATATGCAGTATGGGTGATAAGGCCTGGTGTATCATATTACCTGATAATGATGTTATCTCTACATTTGGCCTCTTTAAAGGGGTAACTTCCCTTTGTGGCACTTGTCTATGATTTCATAGGCCACAGGGAAATTGAGTGGAGGCCACGTATTATGTACAACACTGAATGTACATTATGTACAATAATGCATTTATAAGCAAACCTCAACAAAAAATACTTACCATCATGAATTGTTTATGTCGTTTTTTAGAACAGTCTGTAACTAATCCCTCCATTGTGTGTCTGTTTCCAATGGTTCAGTACACTAGTAACCTAAACAAAAGCCGCGGCACAGTGAGGTGTCCCCGCCAGAGGGACAGGTAACCAGTTTCAACTAACGAGGTGTAAATGGAACCACAAAACGATCAGAGGTCACAGCGGGAAATTTCATGTAGATCAATTAAAATCTGATAGGCCACAGCGTGAAGTGCCGCAGAGGTGCTATACCCTTTAAATGATAGACTTATACACACCCATGAGCTTAGCATTCAGTGCAGCCTTGGGGCAAGGCTAGTAACCTATTTACATAAAGCAGTTGAAAATTACACCATTGCCGTCAGTGCGACCATCTCGTACGGTGGCCCATTGGCGTTACGTAATTAAAGTATTGCTGGAAAAGTATGGCTCACAGTTTGACCAGCCCGTCTTTTGTCAGGCATGTCTGATTGGGTCCCGAAGTCATTAGGTAAGCATGCATGTCAACAAATTGACAAGTCAATGTATTTATGTCAAGTCCAATGAATGAGTGAGTGAGTGAGTTCAGTTTAACGCCGCACTCAGCAATATCCCAGCTATATGGCGGCGGTCTGTAAATAATTGAGTCTGGACCAGACAATCCAGTGAACAACAGCATGAACATCGATCTGCGCAATTGGGAACCGATGACATGTGTCAACCAAGTCAGCGAGCCTGACCACCGGATCACGTTAGTCGCCTCTTACAAGCATAGACCTATTCTACAATGAAGCTGTAGTTTGTTCGTTGCGTGCCCAGTCAGAATGCAACATTAACATTCTAATGTCTTCCACTACTTCTGTTTATGTAAATCATGACACACGAAAGCGTTTGCTTGTAAATCTTTGAAGGGTGCTTAGAAGTATAATGCATAAGAAAAGAACCAGGTGAAAGAGCAAGCATAAATCTTGCCTTTCTTCTGTTTGCTTGTACTTGTAAAAACGAAGCGGTCGGTGTTGTGTAGAGACCTGAAGAACATTCCGTCTCGGTCACACCTTCCATTGCCCTGTAAATAAAGGGGGGCGGCGGGGTAGCCTAGTGGTTAAAGCGTTGGCTCGTCACGCCGAAGACCCGGGTTCGAATCCCCACATGGGTACAACGTGTGAAGCCCATTTCTGGTGTCCCCCGCCGTGATATTGCTGGAATATTGCTAAAAGCGGCGTAAAACTAAACTCAGTCAGTCAGTCAGTGTAAATAAAGTCTCTGTGTTATATACTGACACACTTTGAAAACGCAAAACCCATTTTGGTCATTTTCCAAAAAGTATCATGAAACAAATTCACTTATCACACTTAAGTTTGCCCAAGAAATTCATATGCACATTTGGGTTAAAACCCATTTCGTGTTCCTGGCATAGGGACAATTCATGAAAATACAACTCTGGCTGATTTCTTTGATCTTTTGCATTTTTCATGCAATGGAAACACAATGAAATTCTGAACATAATTGTATTTTAAAACTTGCAGCCAAATCATGTTGTTTATTATTTTTTCCAAATTTGAAATTGGTTTTGCGTTTTTATTGTGTGTCAGTATATACTTGGTACTATTTAAATCACACGATGTCGTTGTGGAGTAGAATAAATGGGCATTTCTTTTCTCGCTGTACAACTATGTGAGGCAGCGCAATCAGTTTACACAGAGTCCGACATGGACGACCAAGGGAAAGGTGAGGCCGACACTTTGGCCGCTGATTGAATGGATTGGCTGTTGTGTCCCTCCCTCCTTTTCCCGGGCTTGCCTTTCTTCTGGCATGTTCGGTCTCTTCCCGTTGTGTACCGGCTCCCTCACGCTTGCTTATCCTGACTGTTTATAAAGGCAGATGAACGACTAAAAGTCTGCTTAGCTAGCCACATTAGTTTGACACATATGTCTGACAAGCATCGGCAATCCCCATAACCATAATCTGTGTCCACGACGAATAGTGTTATGTTTGGGACTGGGAACACACAAGCAGTCTGCCGAAAGGCTGTAATTGGGGGTTTAAAATGAAAACATCATTGTCACTCAGTATATGGGCAATTCGATCCGACCTTGAACTTTGTTATTCACGAAGCACACTGCACACAAAGGTGACCCCAAGGTTTTTACACCCGGTCACAGGTGGGCTCACACCTCAACTTCACTGGACCACAACCCATGTTGTATGTTTTTATTAGGGTTGTTACAGTCATTTAATAGCAGTTACCATAGATA